ACTACGACTACGACTACGACTACGACTACGACTACGACTACGACTACGACTACGACTACGCCTACGACTACGACTACCACTACCACTACCACTACCACTACCACTACCACTACCACACCACTGCCACTACCACTACCACTACCAGTTCATTTTTCCGTGTGCATTCAACATCATTTAACATCCAAGTCAAATCGAATCGTTTGCTTCGGACGTCGTTTCTCCCCATGATTTGTTCATCGGACTAGGTCCACAAGACTTTCTTGGGTGATAGAGACCATGGACCAGTCTGAAGACACAAGAATGTCCGGACACACCTCAGCTTTCCTCCATCCCCTCAACCTCTTTCTCTCCCTCCTCACCTGGGCGATTTCGCGCATACTTTCGCGAGGTATGTGGAGGATCCGCTGAACGATGCCCACGTGCCATACAATGTGCCCTTCCAGGGCCATGCTTTGGGTCTCATGGCCGTCTGGGCACCCGGGAAGAGTTCGGGTCCACAGGTTGGAAGGGCACGGTCTGAAGCAGCAAGCTCCCAAGCTCCATGGTGTGAGACGGGTCGTTTTGTTTTTCTCGTTCTTTTTTCCCCAATACTAGTAGCGTCCTCTTGTTCCTAGTAGTAAGGCCAGGAGCCACTAGTAGCATCCTTGCTCCTAGTAGCGATGCCCTTTGTTACTAGTAGCGTCGCGTCTTTGTTACTACATCCAGATACATCCAGTGTAATGAATGAGATCGGTGCTCCATTTTTGTTTCACTCAATGTAGGTGCCTTAGAGCCTTAGATCAGAAGACTACGAACTCTTCGGTAATCCCCAGGTGTTTGAAGCTTTCAGATCCCACATAGAACTGAAAATGGGATTTTGCTTTAATCTGGCCAGGAGATTTGCCGAGTGATGCCGGCTTCCACATATTCCTCTTCCACCTTTTTCAACCTAATAGCCTAATAGCGATGGCTTCCCACGACACGAACGCCTCGCTCTGCAGTTTTGGGCCGCACCGACGGGTGGGCTTGCAATGCTCAGGAGCGGGTGCCGGAGTTGGAAAACTGTAGTAGGTGGGCGTGTGCCACCTGGTATATATATATATATTTATTTCTTTTTATGCATCAGTAAAAGTGGATGCAAAAGAGTTCCTACAACAATAGGTTAAATAGGTGCTCGATATGATGCTAAGTAGGCTTGGGTGGTGTGAAGGCAGAATTTGGCCCCCTCCATCAATTCATGAACAAAGGAAGCAAGGGATGAAGAAGCAGCAACACTGATAGATGGAACATGGAGATTGTTTAATGGCACACTCAGCATTCCTTCTATCTACCCTAGCCTTCCGTTTGCTCATCAGCGGGCAGGTTGACAAAAGCCTCAGTAAAACGATGGCTGTTCAGAGTGCACACCATTGAATCAATGATGGGCTTAGCGCCAGGGTGGATCCTTCTGTTACAGAAACATTACACATGAAAACAGGTCGCAGGTCTCCAGGTGGTTGGGATGGGTGCTGATGAGGGGATGGTTTTGAGGGATGAAACGAGGTAACTAAAAGCCTAGAAGGGTAGGGGGAAGCACCAAGAATTCTTCAGAATTGCTCCGCGTACGTGTATTTGTGGGGATTACTTAGCGTCGCACCTGGCACTCAACGATCTGTGGGAGGCTTGGACTCACGTTGATCAGTTGGGTCCTTGCAGCCATAGCTGGGGGGCCCAAGCACAGCCTTTGGTGGACTGCCAGTCAGACATCAACTGCCAACCTACCAGTTTGGTGATCCACAGCGTTCCGAATCGTCCAGATCCAGGAAACAAACAATGCGAGCGCAAAACCCTGGGATTCTTGGTAGCACGACTTGCGCTCGGTCCACGCGATCCCCGGAACACCCCTTGACATTGGTGTCGGGTTTGTTGGGGGTGAACCGTATCCACCGTATGAGAATGTGTCTTGTACATATGTGTGGCGCCAGGGTAGTGACGCAGTGACGCACACAAAATGGTCAATGATGAATTGCTGAAATGAATTAAACGATTTCCGGCCGAGAAAAGCTATACGATGTGCCGACGTTGTGACATGTAGACTGTGCAAACCGTCTTGATTAACGATCTTGATTAAGGAAAGGGATTCTTGGTAGGAAGGAGCCTGGATCTGTTGGCTGCCGGTGGTTTCTGGAGCGGGTCGCGGGGTCCATGGCTCCAATCTGGCGGGTTTTTTCTCAACCACAAAGTAACTCGGAGAAGAGCTCAGAACCTGAGCCAATCAACTGTGGATGGGGAAGGGATGAAGACCCAAACATGAGGCTTGGACACGGGCGCCGTGTCCTTGTGGGACGTCGCCGTGTCGACGTTGCAGGTGGGCAGGCAGTTTGTCGTAGGAGTCCGAGCAGCCGAGCAGGGCGTGGAAAGGTTTGGGATGGCGAATTTGGCAAATTCTGGGGAATTCACATACACACATCGACGTTAGTGGTGTCCAAAGAACCCGACATATTTGTTTGGGGCATCTTGAGGAGATGCGCAATCTCTTTCTGCGGTCACTTTTGGTGGTAGTGGATCAATCCGCTGCCACGTTATTCAGGCTTGCACACCATACATCTCCTGTTTGCGGGTGATACAGGTCGGGCAATCCGGTATTGAGATTCGGGTCATCAATGATTCTCCTTCGAGTATGACTAGAACGATATGGCAGTAGATGTTCGTTTTGGGGGCCGGTCGCATATATATATATAATATATATATATAATATATAAAATTACCCTCCAATGGGTCTTTGGTCCAGGTCGAGAAAGAACAGCACTTCCCAATGGTTTTGGACAATGACCTTCTGTACAACTAATTTGCATGCGGGTACATATGTATATTCGTATAATTATATACAAAATCTAAGTGTATGTATCCCATATATATATATATTATGCACACGCTCAAAAAGGCTCTCTGCAGGCTCTGCAATCGGTGCACCAATCCAATGATCAGCTGATGTTGACAGCTTTTTCTCACAAACAATCCAGCTTTGAACTTTGATTCTAAGTGAATCAATCCAGCTTCTTCAACATGTTTAGTCCTACACAGTGTAACTGGAGTGAGCATCGTCTATCCATGGACATGGAGGAACTGTTCCGACCCCTGATGCAGTACCGAATCATTGACCCGAGATACCTCCTCACCCTAGTGTTGCTTAGGGTGATTCGTATTTTTTCCTGTGGGTATATCTCCTTCTGAAGAAACATTTTGGAGCCCCAAGAGACTGGACCCCCACCTGACTGGCCTCTTTGACCACGGACGACCCTCTGGGTGAAAGCCGCGGCGCTTTTTCGCCGCTTTCTCGCCTTTGCAGGAGTGGTGTTGCGCCGCTGCGTGAGGCTTTCTTGCTTCCAGGGAGGCCGACGCGAGCGCATCGCCCGGCGATTCCGGATCGCTGGGCGTCTGCTTCCGATCTCCGACGTTTCTTTCTTTTGCTGTAGTGGAGGCCTTTTTGTTTTTTTCAAAAGGCGATTTTGTTTCAGATGCCACGACTTTGTTGCCAACATGAGCTCCAAATGCATGCTCAGAAGTACTCCAGAAAATTAAGTTCTCACAGTTTGTTCATTGGATCAGGAAAGACGAAGTAAGCAGCAATCAGCAAATATGATCGACGGTGGAACGATCTTGATTCCTTGATTATGTGGACCACTCTTTATTTTTCAATTGTGACAGTCTCTCCTCTGTCAGGCTTCTACACAGAAAGAATAGATTCGATTACAAAAAACAAGAGCTAGGTACAGTCAGCCAGTAAGTCGATTAGTGTAGAATAAAGAAAAGTCACTCTAGACAGGCAGACATGTTGGAAGGGTCCCCGAGGAAGAAAAGTCGCTTGCAAAACCGAGCAAAACTCACCCATCGATGGCCCGTTCGAAGCAGAATGACACCGATTAAGTCTTGGTGTGCTGATAAACGAAGTGTTGTGCAGCTTCCTTGCTACCGCTTACCCCTTAGTTGTTAGCTGACTTAAGCCTCCTCTTACCAGCCTTCCCGCGCCGGCTTTGAACAAAAACAGACACAGAAGGGACCATGTCGTCCTCCAGGCTCGGAGGGCACCTTGGTGGTGGTCTTTCTGCTGGCGGGGTGCTCCATGTTTGCCTGGACGCCCAGCTGGGTCCTGGCAGGGCGACCCCTATAGTCGACAGCCAATGATGGACTTTCTGAGCACGGACCGGGTGTGTAGGCAAGGCGTGTTTTGGAAAGAAGGGTGGGATGCTTGCATGTTAAATGTCCATGGTCTAGTACAAAACCTAAAACTGGACCGACAAGCCCCATTTTGATGCAGGATCTCATGCGGTTTCAACACCTTCCGCCGAGGCCTCTGCCTTGTTCTACAACCTGGTGGTGACGGGCGACCGGCTGGATGGCACCAGCAATGACATGCGCGGGGCTGAACTCCTCATCCCCAGATTGTTCACGGTTCACATTCATTTACCCATCCAATGGATTGAAGGGGTGCCCATGAACAGAAGGTTGAAATCCTTGCAGGATTTCATGTTCACGTCAGAAAACGCCCGCTTCCAACTCCCGGTCCTTTGTTCGTGCCTCTTCGGACTTTGCATGGCATGTGGGAGATTTTGTTTGGATATCGACTGGAAGGTAAGATTGTTAATTGAAGGACTCTAGAGTCCATTATGATGATTGCACCAGTCAGTTGGGGCGTCCTCCTCCTTCAGTCGCTATGAAGAAACGCCTTCTCCTGCATTAGCTGCAGCCCCGTAACGCACAGATTTCATAACTCCTGGTCTTCTGATAATCGCAGCCAACCTCAGGTGGTGCTTGGTTTGTCTTTCGCCCCACGCCCCCCAAAAGCGACCCGTCACCGGACGCTGTCACGCCTTCGGACCGCGGTCACGCGGACCGCGGTCACGCGGACCGGAAGCTTCGGCGCCTGAGATTCCTGATCTTTGGTGCGCAAAGCGAACAGTACCGCCATGTGAACCAGTGCTGGCAGGCGCGACACGCGCGCGGTGGAGACCCACGCGGAGACACACCGCGCGGCGATGCGGGGGTGGGGTGGGGTGGGGGGGAATGCTGCAATGTAGAATGTAACATACCATCTACTGTTTTGAGAATATTTTTGCCTTTTGCTCAAAGCATCTGGATGCCTTGATTTGAGTGGGATGGTGGTGCTGGGGTTGGAGGTTCTTGAAATGGCCGAATGTTGGTTTGTGAATATGATTCAGCGAGGGTAGACGGTATGTGGAAGCATGACTGAACCTGTAGTTTGCTGAGTCTATTTTGAGACACAACCATGCGTTCGTGGCTTTGAACGCTTGTCCGTGAGGGGTGGTTGCGGTCGGAGATGTTTTTTGTGTTTGTTGGAGCCAACAAGCGCCCGGACTTTGGTCCATCAGATCGCTGTTTGAGTCGAAGTTCCGATTTGGTCCAACCCTTAAAGCTAGCATCTAATAGCACCAAAAGCCAACAAGTCAATAGCACCAAGATGACCCAACTGCAACGAACCCACTCGTGACCTTGTCAACATCTTCCAGGCCTTATCTCTGCTGGTCGATTTGCTCACCATCCTGACCGTCTGGGACGTTTGCCTGCAGGCGCAGACCTCGACGGGCACCTCGACGAGCCGCGACGGTGGTGACGAAGAACACGGGGCGCAGTGGTGACGTGTCAGGATGAGGTGCGATACCCGCACTTCCTGCCGAAGATCAAAGAGGTCTGGATCAGGAGCAGGGACATGGTCATGGTGAAGATATGGCCTGGGGGGTAGAGATACTTCAAGTGGTCCTAGCACAGATACAAATGCCCAACACGAAATCAGGGGAATAGGCCACTCTCATCTTTCTGGAGCTTTACAGGGTCCTCAGAGCTTGTGGCATCGATATTCTCAGATGGGATTCTTGTCTTGCTGGGAGGGTGTATGTATGTTCAAGGAATAGTGGACTAATTTAAAGCTTAGACTTGTCATGACCTGTCCACTTTTTGTCGGGGTGCCAAGCCCGCACCTTTCGACAAACCCAATGGAGCCGAAGACGTCAGCGGCTCCGCTGTTTGCACCGAAGAGGAGCTATGACGGTTGGGTTCGAGTCCTTTTCGCCACCTGGCTGGAAGGAATGACTAACCAGGACCCTTTGAATGTGTACTAATCATTCGTGATAGGCAGTTCTCTTCAAACCACCTTATGCGGCATTGGCATGGTCAATTCTCTACTTGTCCTTTAATTTCTTTAATGTAATGAGTCAACTTCCGAAGGAACCGCCTTTGAAAAAGGATTGCTTCATTATGGCACCTCCGGTCAATGCGCTGGTTCATTGTTACTAGCTACTTCACTCAAATAGCCTGAAGAGGAGTGCCTTCGGGAATCTTAGCCTGTGGTAGAAAAGTGGGGAAATGTGGGCAGGTGAGAACTTACCAACCTTTTTTTCATGGTTCCGAAGGATTCTGGCACACTCCCTCAGTGTTCCGAGCACCATCGCCTGATATGGACGCCAGACCTAGATAGCAAGGCCTTTTCGCGGGGAATTTGGTGGTTAAGACGCCAGACACCTTTCCAGTCAGGAACGACTTCAACTTACCATCTCCAGAACGACTTCAAACAGGTCAACCCAGCTTCTCCACCTGCCAATTCATTTTGTCCACCACAGTCGTGTCGACTTCCTCACCTTCCAAACATCGTCTCGCGGCTCTCATCTAAACTGGCCAATTCATCCGGTTTGATCCACCAGAGGCGCCTTCACTTCGGCCTTCGCTCACCTGGCCCGTGGTGAGCGCCAAGGCCTGGATTTGCTTTATGCTTGGCGCGGTGCCCATCATCTGGACCGTCTTTCTCACGGGACCTGGCCAGGCGCGGCTGCTCGGCCACGCTGGCCACCAGATGGTGTTGCTGTGGAATGGTTTTAGATGTGTCCGTTTCTCATCACATGGAAGTATATTGCTTGCATCTAGATATGACTGCTTGCACGATCTTGCACGACTTCAAAGGATGAGTCCTTACAGATACATTCTAGAATTACCGAACATCAACTGCCACACGACTAATGACCAATACTTCTATTCCTTTGGCATCAGTCGATTGATTTTTATCTTCGTGTTGCCAAGTGCTACGTGACCAGACTGCAAGACGTAGCACGTAGCAGGAGACCTAAGCGAGGGAGATGGGCGTCCGGTCTGTTGCCACAAAGCAAACCTTATTGACGTGTTCTGGAATTGCTCCATGGAGCACGAAGAACATCGCAGAGCTCTGTTTTCGGATCCTGAACCAACCGAATCAGCCATCATTGACCTTGAACATGTTTCTTTGTCCAGCGACGTGGCGGCGCGTTCGATATCGTGTGCCTAGCCGCAGTTACTCATTCGCGTGGTGAAAGAAAGGTTTTGAAGCCTCCATAATTGATCGACCACCATATAATCTAAGTGGGATGACTAGTACCCCAAAACCAAACCTTAGCACCAAAAGAGCATGGACCATGGTCAAAACAAAACACCGGTCACCGACCAAACGGCCCTTCTCGCCTCCTTCAGCTCGACGCCGCGGACGATCGACCTCGATTCCAGGGACAGATCTCAGCACCGGCGATCTTCGGGGGCTCCGATGAGGCCGATCGACCCGATGGGGAGAAGCGGGTCAGATGGAGAGCTCTGACAAGAAGGGAGCAAGCAGGGTAACTACCCCTTGATGTTCAGGGATGATAGGAGCTGTTGAAGGTGAATCAAATGCGGAGGAAAGTCCTCCGGTGGTGCACCTCAGGGTCCTTTGAGCAGCGTGAGGTGAGTCATTTTTCAGGCATGGTAAGCAGTCTGGGATCATTTTTTGGGATGGGTCACACGTGGGCCGATTGGATTAAGGGCACATCCAAGGCAAAACCCAACCCAAGAAAAAGTGTTCATCAGGTGGTTTTGGGGTGCCCTGAATCTGTGCCACCGGACAAAATATGGACCACATGAGTGAACACCCAGAGGCTATATGCCAGGTTGGGTTATTACAAAGCCAACAATCATGTCTTTTCATTATCAAGAGTACGTAGGGCTATGTGTGATAGGAATGCCCGCCTTTGGGGGCTCCCAAGCAGTCCAGATTCGTTCCGGTCTTTCACGTCGTATCGCAGGTGGTTCGGAACGTCTGCGCGGGGGTCCTGGTCTTCGTCGACTTGTTGGTCACGGTCCAGGAGCCGAACGATCCCGTGAGACGTGCGGAAAGGACATGCTGGAAAGCGGCCCAGATGCTTTGGTGGACCAAGCGGACATTCCAGCGGTTTTGCTGGACTGTCCGCCTAATGAACGGTTTGGGGTTGTGAATTGCTCAGACACTTCTAGTGCCTTACTCAAAGCTAACTGTGCTTCTTTTAGGAGTTCCGAGTTTGCTTGCCGAGCCGAACCACCTAGGAACCCACATAGCAAGCCAGGCACCCAACACTTGTCAAATACCAAACCAGAGACCAAGGTATACCAAGCCACGCACCATACAAGCCCTGCCCTGCCCTGCCCCGCCCCAGCATCACACCGTGGGACGGTCGTCGAAGGACTGGGACTTCCCGACCTTTGAAGAGCCCTTGGAAATCCAGGTGGGTTTCAGGTAAATCACCTGCTCAGAGCGCTTCGAGCCTTTTTGAGGAGAAGAAGGGAGAAAGAGCGACCATAAGTTTTGTTTCTTTTTTATGTACAGATTGTTTTTGGAGCATGCAGGACCTTTGGGCGCCTCATGACTTGGAAAAACCCCGGAGAAAAGCATTCTCAAGCCCCAGGTTGTCGGCTGAATTGGATTCTATCTTTTGAGTTTTGCTCGCACCAAGAGCGATTCGCAGTCAGGAAGGTGGGGGGCGAATTGGAGTCTGACTTCATGTGCTTCAACAACGCCTTCTTAGCCCTGCACCCTGTCCAACCACCTGCATTTCTCGAGGAAGAACCTGCGCTAGCAGTAGCACGCACTTCATTTTTCAATCTCTCCTGGGCGTTCAGCCGAGTGGAAGAGTTCACGAAAGTAGATTGTACACGAACCCACTACCACTCTGAAGAAGGAGTAGGGCGTTAACTGGGTAAGGGTGCTTACATGTGCTTACCGTTCCCGATGACCACTTTCTCATGGCAAAGGATCCCTGTGCAAAGCCACCTGGTGCCTTGTGGGAGTGAGGGTGCACTAGGACTAGCAGAAACAAGAATCTAAGAACAGTCTTCAACAGTCTGAACAGACGTCAACCAGTCAATCGTAACCAGTCAACGTTTCGGCATTTTCCTGGTTACGAAAACGCCTCCTTGTCAGATCCTCACTTCCGCCAGGTCCCAACCAAGGTTTTGGGCACCTTCCACGACCGATTGAAGTGCCTTGGTGGAACTGGAAGAGGACGAAGAGGACCCAATAGCGTCCTTGTTACTAGTAGCGATGCCAGGAGCCCCTAGTAGCGTCCTTGCTCCTAGTAGCGAGGCCAGGAGCCCCTAGTAGCGTCCTTGTTACTAGTAGCGATGGCCTCCACCGAGCCGAAGGACATGGTCGTTTCTGAGTGAGGTGTCCCAAAAGCGCTTTGTCGTTTGGTCGTTTGGGTTTCGGAATGCACTGGAGTCGTCATGCACTGGAACGGTGGGCACCCTAGCTTTGCTTGTCACCAGGTGTTTCCTGATTGATTGGAGGGTCCAGGTATGGGATTCATAGACTCATGTACCAGAAAAGCTCTAGTGCTGGGTTTGTTTGAAAGGTATACATTTTTTCAGTGATTTGTATTTCGTCGTTTCAGGGTTCTATGGGGGTCTTTCTGAGCAAGGTGTGTGTAGTTTCTATTTTCTTATGCTCATTGGGTCGTAGTCGTAGCATACCCTATCACATAAGAATACATAAGATATCACACAGACCCTTCTTTGAGGCATGGTCTTAGAGGGAGAATTGCATAAGATTCTGGAGTATGCCTGAACGGAGGAGAGCCTGCTGAAGCAACCTGTGATCTTCTTGTGAAGGCTCAAGAACTTTGCTACTAGTAACACGTGCATCGCTCCTAGAAGCTTCTTGTTCCTAGTAGTAAGGCCAGGAGCGCCCCTAGTAAGTAGCGTCCTTGCTTGGACCAGGAGACGAGGGTCTTCTGCTCTTTTGCTGTTTGTGGCATCTTTTTTTTCCTGCCACAGGCCACAGAAGGAACCGGTCAGTCCTACCGGGATGACCATGGTTTTCACCTGAATGTGGGAGACTGTGATGGATGACCGGATGACCCTGCACCTAAGAGACTTGAGACACCAGCACCTCAGGATGAAATTCTACAATCATAATTTGCTAAACTACCAATCATCAGGGGTAATTACATATTGTATATGATTATTGTCATTTAGATCTATCATCAATAGCTTGTGATGATTGGCAGGTGCGGGTCGAAATGAACATCAGCATCCGACCGCTGAGAACACGGGGGCATGGATGAATTGCGGGAACAGTCAGTGGATCCTTACTTTCAGGCTGTAAGAGGTTTGCAGTAGTCACCCTAGTGGTCCCCCAACAGACATGGCTTCTAAAACATTCTTGAATCGTTTTTGCACCTATCTGGTAATTCTGGGCGGAGCTGAGCAGCTGCGCCTTGCTGCGCCTTGCGCCCGAGGATCACTTGGATGGCACGGTTACTGAAACTGCGCCGTGGATGAATTGGCACCGTTGAGCTGGTGTGACCGCTTGGACTCAGGTCAACACAGCTCCGGAAGTCCGATCGGAGAAGTCAGACGGGTGTTTCACAGAAACCACTGAGTGGGGCCATTGAAACGACTGCATATAACAAAACACGGGAATCGGAATGCTATGAGTTGCATGCAGCCAGCAAAGCTTCTCAGGCACCATGTGAAGTGAAGCACCCAAATCATGTGACCCATGATTGTTTGTGGGTTGGGGCTTCCCCATCTTGAGAGCAACATGCTGGAGAAGCCTCCACCACTGGAGATCACCATGTAACAACCTCGCTTTCCAATTCTCTTCGTAAAATCCTCCAGCTGAAGTCTACGTTTTCTTGGAGGGAGTTTGTATCTGATCAATGAAATGACACCCACAATTCTTTTTCCCGCTTTGTTTGCGGCCTCACCAGTGCACGAACAAAACACGACGTCACATATGCTACTTCTAGGTCCCGACCGTTCCGTCAGACAGTCGGACTTGGCCTTAAGTCTTTCTCGTCCACACGAGGTCAGGGGGTTCTTGGTTTCTTACCCCCAAAACACGGTGCTTGACCGTCAGAACCACCTGAGAAGCTTTATTTCCAACAAACCTGTGAGAACCCTGTTTTTGTATCCTCATCGACTGGTGTTGATACCGCTTCTCGGACTCCTTCTTTTCTTAGGATTCCGCAGCCTTCCTGGAGCTGCTGGAAACGCCTCTTGGACGAGACCGTGAGATTGTTGGCTTTTGGTCGAGACTTGCTCTTTGGCCTGGGCCTATTTGAAGGGCAGATCCCAACCATGGAGGTGGTGGTTTCTGTGATAGAACCATCTTCCACCAAGATGGTTGTGCAACTCCTGATGGTTTATTTGCAACAAATAGCGCGTCGGAGTGTGCCAGTGACCTCTGTGTAGTGACCTCAAGTCGAAAGGTTTTGTCCGACTTCTCTTGGGCAAAAGAAGGACTAAGGACCTGTGTAATATCTCATTGGGGAGGCATTTCTCACAAATGGAGAGGGCCGGAGAGGTGGCGAAACAAATAGGGGGAACTCACAATAGGTTTGCCTCCAAGAATCGCTTTCGGACACCAGCGTTTCGTGGATGTGACGGTGTTCGAGGCTTGTGCCAGTACCTGCCAGGGCCCGAGTTTTTTCAAGCCGGAGGCCCCAGAGGCCAGAGGGCCAGCCGCCGGGGCCTGTTGGGGGGCGGACGCTTTTCAATGCTTTTAGGCAGGACAAAGAAAAAGACTGTAGGAATCTGGCAGGTGGGACCCAGTCGAAGAGAGAACACCGGCCAGTTTCAACTAATCCTTTTTTGGGAACTTCCTAACATGATCCAACCGCCGAACAGTGTCGTTTGGGGCTAATTCACCCATCCCGACCAACGGAGGGTCTTTGGGTCGCAGGCTCCGTCGCACCACACCCACACTCGCACACTCCCACATACATATGCCCATTTCTCAGCACACCATCACTTCCATACAACGTCATCGCAGGCAAACGGCAAACGCATGTCTTTTCTTGGCACAGGACATTCCGTGCCCATTTCTCCTGACTGCAGTGTCCGACGTCAACACCGCGGTGCGGCCACCGGCTTCACCGATGTGTTTTTTCTATGGAGTTCACATGACAGCCCACGCGACCCATGGTATGAAAAACTTGTCAATCTGAGTCCCTCTGAGGTTTCAATCCGTGGGAAGTGGCTACAGTATGGGCCTCTCTGTTGTGCACCTCGGTGGAAGGGTGCGTGTGGAAGCAGAATTTGAGCTGGGTGGAGGGAGTGCTGCTTTGGTTTTGAAACTTAATTTCCATTGGATAGATACACAACTGCGAGTGTCAATGTTTCTTCTTTGTCAGCAAGGACATTCGCAAGATTGAAGTGAACTCGGAACAGTTATCAAACATCTTCACTTTGCTGGGGCCCTTGCCTTCATACTCGCCAGACTATTTCCACCCTTGGCCGCTCTGCCATGGCATGGACTCCTGTCAGGTGATGTTTATCGACCTGCCCTTTGGCTGCACTGAGGGGATTTCAGAACTGCGGATATGATGATGTTCTTCTTGGAAGCTTATAAGATCTGAAGACAAGGAATCAAAACGGTAAACAGAGTCGTGAACATGTAGGAGAAAGCACAATTGCCATTGACATTATCTGAAGGTTTCTCTTTTTTGCAAAGTTCAATCGGAGAACGTGAGGCTGTACGGCAAGTTGTATGAGGCAGCCAGAGAGAGTACGGGAGAAAGGCGCAAAAGGTCCATGAGAGGAACACGCGTTGCCCATTCAGAGCCCTGTCCAGTTCAGTCCACCTTGGCCTCTGCGTGTGTCGGACTGGTGCATTGGTCTGAGGGCCTATTCTCGAACACAGCTCATCTACGACCCAAGCTACTATGGGCAGTACGTGGATCTCCGAGCTTCTCGGGCTTTAGACGTGGATGAAGGGAGGGGAATGGGCGAGCCAGATGCAGACGATGGTGAAAGGACTTCGTTGGACTTGGCTTCAGCCAAAACAACCATGTCGTTTGGTAGGGGACATCCAGAAATATGTACAAGACGCAGCTGGACAGACCTGTCACAAGACGCTGTGTGTGAGTGTGTGAAAACCACTTCCACCACTGGTCCATTTGACCAGGCGGATCACACGGGGGCGAAGAGAAATCAGGAGATCCGCAGATCGAAACCAACATATTTAGGAAACAACCCAGTATAAGTCCAAACATATGCCAGAACATTGTACTGGAGTGCCTTTTGTTAGCTTTGGTTGTTTACTACCATGTTGGCGGGATAGCCTAAGATCTTCCTTAGAGGCTTCCCGCTGTATATCTATGGCATGCGGTTGGTGGTTCGTGGTAGCCTTTTTTTTAAAACCTTGTACCGCGAAATCCTGCACCACTTGAGATACCTTAGGAGGCGGCATTCCCAGCGAATATGAGGTGATGGTTTGGGTGTTTGATAGATGAACAGTGGCTTTCCAAAGCCAGCGGTTTTCCACCTAGGACTCCTTCATCTGGTCCATCACTGATCAGGACAGCCGATCGGTTGGAGGGCGCGATGTCAAGATTTTCCGAACATGTGGGTTGCCGTAGGTGGCAATTTCGGAGAGTGCGATGCTGGTCATGGTAATGCTTTTTATACAACACCAAAACTCTGTTATGTTTTGGGGAGAAGACTTGCAGCAGTTGTTCCATGGTGTTTTTACCTTGTTGGACTTGGAGATCGCTGGCTTACCCATGAGCTGCAGTTCTTTGCTCATGGCGCAGGCAACCTTGGAGACTGCCTACGAGGGTGGATATCTCAAGGAGCCTACTTGTAGCACAGAGTGTTGCTCTTGGCGGAGAGGAGAACGCAAAAGCGACAGGCCTTGGGTCGTCCAGTCACCCTGAGAGTTCTGACAGATCAGTCAAGTCTTTGTTGAACACGCAAACACGACTGATCGGCAAACACGCAGGTTTCCCAATTTTATGGCCGATACTGTTCCTGTGCTACTTCAGGAAGTGGTTGCGCACGGAATTTGCATCCACATGACTGGACCATGTCCGTGCGGAGCTGTACAATGACAGGAGAACGCGTCCCACCTGATCTCCTTCGAAGCGAGCCCATCTCCTCAGAGAGACGGACCGTCAGACACCCCCGCGACCACTCGGACGACCTGGGAATCGGAGGTGATTGCGCAGGAGCTCCTGAGACGTGCGAGGTTGTCTGAAGACGTCATCTGAGGTCCTTCAGTGACAGGGTACTTGAGTGTTGGGAGACTATGAGCACAAAAGGATGAAAAGAGTATGCACAGTCTACAGCACGGCATGCAGCAATTGTTCGATTCTCCACCACCAGAACACCAGGAAACCACGGCCACCAACGGTTTGCTCGCTGACCACACGTCATCCCAAAAAGGGTTCCAAGAGAAGGCCGAAGACTTGACGAACAGAGCTGGGAAGAAACACCGATGGTCGTTCCAGGGACGGATGGTCTTGGGGATGTGTGGGAGTACCCCCTTGGACCAGTGGAGTGCCAGTATTGGGAGTAGCTCTATGACCAACCAAAGATAACATGATATAGCAAGTAAGTCATACACAAGTCCACCACTCCCAGCTCACTGGTGGTATGAAGGGATACATAGCTAGTTAGCTAGTCAGCCTTCATCAGCTAGTTCCCTCCGGACCTGGTCTTCAGACATTACGTGAATTTGTCTGCAACCTGCATTTGACGTTCTGCAAAGCTGTGGCCTTTAGTTTCTTTCTTATTGTAGATGATCGAATACAGATGCCAGGGTTCCAAGCAGCGGGATCTAACAAGTATATACGGACTGCCTCGCGGACTGCCACGCTCCGGCAAGTTCAGTAGATTCGTGTTCAATGGCCTCCGGCGAAACGCAACGCAATGCGGCGAAATCCTGCTTTCTGACCTGCAAAGTTCTTCAGACACCGATGATTTGTATTAACTCTACAACAAGAACTCGTGGCACCTCTTGACTTGGCAACATTTTGAACTGCCATGAACATCCCTCTTTGGGAGTTCTCCCAGAGTGAAGCTGGAGATATCAGCTGTATCAACCGCTTCGACTCTATTCTCTCACTTTTCGGCTGCTAAGGATGGAACACCACCAGCTATGAGCCTTTCCCCTTTGCCCTGACAGATGCCACTTGACCGATAGGATTGGCTGATGCCGATGGTATCCCACCAACACCAACGGGGATTTGGCAAGATTGGCGGATGGGCATGAGCAGTAACTAGTAGCTTGAGAAGCTCGGGCCATTTTGGTGGAGGTTGAACATGAGTTTCTTCACCACGCGTCTCTCCGGCAGTTTCCACTTCGAACTGTGTGCATTGGCTGGTTCCCTGTTTGTTGAACCCAGCTCCCCCTTGATTCGAGTGACATCCACTGGTTTCCCAACTGGGCTCTAATCGGCTATGGATGGCTATGGCTATACTGCATTGACTCTCGCGGCAAACCACACCACAGCCCTGGTAGTAACTCTTGTTCTTGGAATCCCAAACATACCAAAGGTGATTGGTCAACACCTGACGAACCAAAGCTGGATCACCTGATGTGGCTTAGTCCCATGGAGCCAGTCAGGACCCATCTCCACTCAGTTCAACCTTTTTTGCATGTCAGGACCGGACTCCACTGGTCACCGGAGACCCCTCGCGCGATCTGACGCGAAAAATCCGCAAACATCTCAACTCTGACGCCCAGGTGAAGGGCAATTCACGCTTCATGAACTCTGGGATGAAGTACTTAGCGTGCCCAGCGGCCCGTTTTCACCGTGAGACAGTCATGTCAACTGCTGGTCGACTCCTGAAGAGTGGTGATTCGGTGAAGCAAACAGCATCTGCAGACAGAAAGGGAGGCAACATAGGTAGTAAGCCCCTAGTAGCGAACATTGCCCCTAGTATGTTCACATGGTGAGTGCCAAAGCTTCATGTTGCTGGTCGCACTGCTGGTCGCACTGAACGTCACGCACCTGGGAAGACACAGGTCCAAGACCACGTGGGTTCCTTGGAAGTGGACGATCCTTTTTGTCTGTTCTATCCCCCGAGCCACGATGTGGGAATGCAACATCGAAGGCTCTGATGGTTTTGTTTTTCCCCAAGTTGGTGGTGTCTTTGACCATTTTTGCCTGCTTGTCGGGAGTGCACCAACAGTTCATTGGGTTTGTCCGGTTTTTGGAACCGGGGAGTGTCCAGACCCAAACAGATGAAATCCGATGAATATACCCCCTTCCGCCTATATAAACCGCCTCTAATTTGATCCCTAACTTGAACTCCCAATGACTCATGACTTGTTCGGTAGCTTGCAGCCACCAACTCGTCTTCAAAATCACAATACTCAAGGAGCACTTCTAGAAGTTCCCGAAAGTCTTTCCTATCGAAATCCTCTTACCAAAGGTTCGCAATACTAAAGAAGCGGCAGTTTGAGAGATGGAACCTGCGTCCTATCCTGCCGCCCTCATCCTGACCTCGAGAGACCTCCATCGCCAGTCTGCCAGGCTTTGGATCAGCACGTCTGCCTTGGTCTCCTTCGCCTGTTGCCTCTGCACCGCCGATTGGCGGAGGCCGTTCCCGAGCACCGACACCGACACCGAGGTTTCGAGGTCCGTCGTGGTGTTCGGGGCCCGTTTTCCACTTCGCGGTGTTCGGTTTTCCTTCTGACCAGAAAAACCATCAGATACAGAAGAAAGGTGAGACCAGAGCAACTACTAGGGGATGGACAGCTGCGAAGCCAGGGATCATCGTGTGTCTTTTTCATGCAGATGTTTGGGAATGTACTGTAGAGAGAAACGCTGGTGTCTATGATGTGGTGACTTCGCCAGAGTGTGTCTTTGCTTGAGTGAAACGGTGTCGTACGCAACACCCGACTCGCCACTCACCGCACCGCCACCGACCGAACTTCGGCCCCCCGTCCGAACGCCGCGTTCTTCGCAGGGCGAGGCTGTTGCAAGAGATTAAGCGGGAGGCAGATGTGACGGAGCGAAGTGGAGCGAGGTGGAACGAGGTGGAACGTGCAGGAGTCACTTTTTAGTATTTCTTAGTGTGATGTTGGAAGAGATGGAGGAGGGGTCAAGAGCAACCCCCCCGATAATGGTGTGGGGACTCTTCATTTTCGGGATGTTCGAAGACGGTGTCTATAGACACGCCCTTTTGACGACCGCACTTCACAAAGACCGAATGCCCAATCTTCAATCATTTTCATCTGCCTTCTTTAACTGCAGATTCAAGTTACCTCTAGTGGCCGTAGGGACAATTGCAGGGGGTTTGGTCAGGAGAGCAATGGGGTTGGAGACCGAGAAAACACCAGCGAAGCCTGAAGGCAGCGAACTCCGGGGATGCAGCGTTTTTCACCGGAGCCGAAGGAAGAAGGACGCCCCATGGGGAAGGTTTTTCTTCAGAAACGATGACACATCTGGAAGCATTGACCATGGCGGCGAGGCAGCAAAGACTTGACCAGGGAGACTGAATAGATTGCAGATCTTCCATCCTCCGTGACACTGTCAGACACTCCGATGATGGCAGCCACCTTAGCCATGCAGTGAATGGTACAGCAAGGCAAAGCCGTCCCTTGATGTTTCATGTAGATTATTTTTTGATGGCTCTTTCTTGTAGCAGATGAAGCACTGTCAGGCGAGACTGACACAGGTCTTGACCAAGCCACAGTCGCCAATGCAAAGTGGGGACTTGTCGTTTTGAGGAAGGTAAACTTGCGGCCATGGTGGCCACAAGGGCCATGGTGGCCACATGTTGTCCACTGCAAGCAATTCGCCACCTGCGACTGGACAACTCACCCTCCGTGACTGGGTCAGTTGCCCGTGAGACGGGGTGAGAGATCTCGCAGCGAAAGGGTGAGCCCACAACGGAGGGCGCCACCAGGCTCCACAAGACCCCACCGGGGTGTGTGAACTCGCCGGTCACTGAACATGCATCGTTTTGGCTTGCACTTCCCAGTGGTCCGGACAAGGGTTTTGTATCCCAACGACAGTTGTTGAGTTGTTTTGGTCAGAAACTTGACCAGGAAAACGTGTATACTCCCAAAGCGACCATCCAAGCCTTTTTGAAAGACACGTTCCTCTACAAATCCAGGCCTCTTCCACCAAACTAGGTTGAAGACGGCTACTAGGGGCTCCTGGCCTTATTCCTAGGAACAAGAAGCTACTAGGGGCATCCAGGCCTCTTCCACCAAACTAGGTTGATGGCTTGGCTCTCCCAATTTCCTTTGACTCTCTTGGCTCGTGAACTCTCCAATGAGATCTTCACCTGTCCTGTTCGGTCTGAGTGGGGAGTGAGTGGTCTGTCCCAACCGGTGAACATGGGAGGCCTGGTGCCGGTCACGTCGTGAACGACGTGGCCGAGCCGCTCGTTCGTTCACATGAGAACGTCTCGCGTCTCGCAGATATGCAAACCTCGAAGTCAGAACTCGGCAGGCCAAAGATTGGAAGTCTTAGATCAAATCCACCGCTCGAAATACTCCTTGAGGAGCCAAGCAGCAAAGCATCATCTTTTGCCCACACTACCTACGAAAGAAGGTTTCTCCCCAAGCCTTGAAGCTACAATCCCCTTAGTTCCCTGCGAAACCACGATGCCAGGAAGAGCAGGGGACTAGACGAGGGGCATCTGAGGACGGCGGCGCCATCGAGTACTTCGATGTCTTCCCACGCGAGTGGAGAGTTGCGCATCGGATCACTCGGACCAAAAAGAACTCTCTTTTGCTACGTTCGAGTCGCGTCCCATCGCTCCGTTCGTAGTAAGGCCAGGAGCCCCGTTCGGTTCGCGTCCGGTCGCTCCGTTCGTAGCGATGCCAGGAGCCCCGTTCGTAGCTTCTTGTTCCTAGTCTTTTGTATAGTTCGGCTTTTAATTCTGCATAGTTCTGCCTTTTTCAGTCATAGCCAAAATGGGTCCATGTTCCATGTTCAGGAAAGGGCACTTGTGAAACTGTGTAAACCATATGGCAATGGACATGGGAGATCGCACTGAACATACCTTGAGGTTCCGAGCCCCACGCGTTGGAAGATCAGCCGCTGTCAAAGCCATTTCATCCCTTCCCTTTGTGTGATACTTTTGTCGCGGGGCGTCCACGTCAACGCCATTGCACATGGCTGACTTTGTGCATCTTCGCACTGTCAAGAATAGCCTCATCCTGAAGAAGTTTAAAGAGATAGCACCATCTACCTTTGGGGGGGTTCACCACTGGACTTGGACAAACATCTGCCATTCACTCATATGGATTTTGAGGTATACCTTGGGTTTGTCCTATTACCTGCAACAGTCAGTAAACGATTATATTACACCATTTTTGAACAAGGCCTTTACCACCCATACTGGTCATTTGACCCAATTAAGGTATACCGGTTACTTGCATGTAGAAATGCCGACCTTTCAAGGTTCTTCTGCCAGGAGAGCGGCGATGTGTCGGGCCCTGTGGGCCTTACGGCTGCGCCCTCGCCACAGTCGGAGGCGGGATGACGGGCTCGGTGGTGAGACGCAATGGGGTTGGTCCGCCCCCTTAAACAAGGGCGGGAAGTTCGGCCGTCGAACGAGCCATTTGGGTTTGGAAGTGTTTAGCGATTTCGTTGGAAGGGGTTGGGAGAGCTACTGTAGAATGCCCAGTCGGCCCCAGACGTTTCTTTTTGCTGATCCGGGAATCATTTGGGATGTATGATGTGTACCATTACTTGATGGAAAGCGAAAGCGAGACGGATCAATCCAAGCGTTGGGAAACTGCGTGGAACAGAACTGCCGCCTGACTGGTGCAGAAGATCTGTTTGACCAGTTTGGAGTGTACTACTCCAGCGTAAGAGTGTAACATGGAAGTGGACACGTCCGACCTCTTTGGAAGACGATTTTTATTGATGCAGCGGAAGACGTTTTCCATTTGTCAATCATTCCTGCAGAGAGTGTCGGAGAAACGGACTTCACCCCGCCACTTCGCCGAAGATCCCAGTGGTGCGCACGGTCCTCATCGGTCGTCAGTGGTGCGGACGGTCGCGGAGGGGTGGTCCAGAAGTCAACCGTTGATGGTTGGGGCAGATCCGGACCATTCAATCCTTGATGGGTAGAGGCAGGCTATTGGTCAGAAATGGTCCGGATGTTGAAAGACGCCCTGGACGGTGTGAAAATGAAACTGTGAAGCATCTCAGTCGAACAGACATATATAAATATAACGAACATGGACTTTTGATAGACCATTTGGCATTTTTCACCGCATTCTTGTAGGCGGTGCTATTTTAGCGAAGACTTCATTGACTGCTCTAACTTTTTTGTTTTTGAAGATTGTCATTTCGTATCACTGATACAAATAATACGATACTTAACTTATTAAATGTTCAGTTCAGTATAATATTCTCAACCCCTGCATACTACTAAATCAAACAAGCACCCGCAGTCGGTCCTTTCCGGAGATAGAGGAGCTGACCATGGCTGACCACACCGTCGCTCCCCACATCGTTGTTGCTTTCACAGGCCTCCTCCCTGCACGCAGAGATCATCTGAGACCCGAGATCGCCTTCGATCGGCACTGGGCGCTTCAGTAGACTTTCTCTGAGGTGGGCCGAGGGATCTCGATTTGTCGCCACGTTGGCCAAACCCGGGTTCTTCGAAAGAAGAACCATTACGGCAAGAGCATGGCTGCCAGGTTTTCTTTGGTCCTTTGGAGGGTCCCAGATGCTACTGGTTTGGAGGACTTCCCTGACTGCTTGGAGTTCAACGAATGCAGTTGATCATCTCCGAGGTTGTCCAGGCAACGTGTTTTCACTGGTCCACAAGACCTGGGTATGTCAGTTATGTCTTAAAGAATGTGAAACTCCCAAACCGTGAAGATCAATTCATTTCCCTCCTTGAATCACCAACTGCAAGCGGCTTGACAGAAAGCGGCTTCGAAAGTCAGACAGAGCACCAGGCCTTCCATCCCAACGACTCCCGTATCGGATGTCACAGACTCAGCCCGCCGTGGTTTACAGACATGCCAAAGGCATTGACGGTCTGTCTCCATCTGCACTTGCCGGGCCCTGTGGGGCAAACCGGAAAAAGCTGCATTGCTGACGATCTGGACGGTGAGGATAGTTTGACCCTAGGTCGGATCGGGTGTTCAAGGATCGGGGGTTCATAGGATCTATGTGGGCCTTGCCGCCTTTTTTGCTTGTTTTCTCTTTGTGAGTCGGTTCCGCACTGATAAGGTAACGAGTCAGAGTTGCTACCAGGTCAATGCTTTTCCATCGCAGACCTTTCGCAATTCTCGACGAAGCCCTGAGGAAGTTCGATCCAGTTCGGTGGACCGCCTCGCTACGTTCACATCGTTCGCGACGTTCCATCTTCACTTCGTTTTGGTGTGCTTTCGTGGATGGAAAAGACACATTTTGCATCATTTTGCAAAGTGTCATCATTTGTCAGCAGCCCAATGCAAGACAGTAGCAGATGCCATTGTTCTGCTCCCACCAAGCTCACTCGGAGGGCACCATTTGAAGACGACACTGACCAATGTCTCGTTCACTCTCAAGGCCGTTTGCAGATCAAACAATATCATAAAGAGGTTTCGTGTGTGATTGCGGAAGCTCCCAGCAATCAATCAACAGGCCGTATAATATAATACTGTGATATATTATGTACTGCAATGTAACAATAAATACATACATATAGCTATATAAATTATGTAACATTATATATATATATGATTCGTATATAATACTGCTATATACATACGTACATGATATAAGCATCTAATATATATATATAATATAATGTGTATATATATATATATAACATTTCCCTGCCGGTTGTTGCAGAATTTCGGAGCTCTCCACTTGAAGCGTTCTCCAACCCCGGCTCCGGTTGAAGAAACTCCCGACTGTGTTTCGGGGCGCCGCTGTCGCCATGAATCTTTTGGCGAATGCTGGCAGATGCATAGCTCCACGCGGAGCCTTTCTGCAGGCGAAGAGGGGCAGAAAGGGGCTCAGCTACAAAGGGGCTCAGCTACTTTGTAGTTTCGAAACCGAACCTCTTCCAGGGTCCTATTATGGCAGGGACGGGATGAAGAGAGGCTTCTTGAGCTTTCAATGGAACCCCTTGGCAGGATTCTTTGGCTTCTTCCGGCGGTTTCTTCGTGTTTTCACCTCACCGCGGCTCGCTTCTTCGTTCACCCAGGTGAACGCTGTGCAGAGGCGCTGGCGGACCCATCCCAAGGGCGGACGACATGGGCCGCAGTTCAACCACATGCCCACGGAGGCCAGGAGCGCCGTCCGTGTGGTTGAGCGCACCGGGCGATATCCGGTGTTGAACGTCGATCTCCGGTTTTCCTTGGTTCTTTTTTGCTAGAAATGACTGGAGAAAAAGGATGGCCAACACCAAGCAACTGAAGCTCCCTTCGTTGATCGTGAGAAAGGCCACAGCTGTTTGCGAATTTGTTCCAGAAGTCTTGCAGCGAAAGCGTTCTTGGAGTAGAGATCATGCTTTTCAACAAAACCAGCCATTGGTCCAGCAGTGACATAAATCCGATGAAAAGGCCCCGGCGGCCGATACATGACACTTCGCTGAACATCTATCTCCTCATCCCCTCACCGTGGAACGGGGCACAGCACACGGACAAGGTCAGAATTTCGGAAGACTCAGAAAAAGACCACAGAAAAGGCACATGTTGCGAAAAACCATTGAGGGAGCATGCTTTGTGTCAGTCCTATTTCTTAGATCCCAAGTTGTGCTATGCAACATGGGAACGTGGAATATCCCCTCAGTAGATTTCTGTACCGAATCAGGTACCTAAGGGGCACCAACACAATCTTTGTATTTGTAAAAGCCGGAGCCTCTTCACAGAAACTGAAGCCTGGACAAGCCCGAAGGGGGCTTTGAATCTGTGTCCTGATTGTGATCGAACGAGGTGTCTCGAGTGATTTTCCGTGGACTCTTCGACCTCAATGATGTGTCTCGTTGGTTTCGACCTTGGGCGCGTCACAATCGTGTGTAAAAACCTTGGACGGGTGTCTTGTTTTTGTAACACTGATCCTGGAAGCTCAAACAATCCCAAAGACAAGAACATACTCACACGTTCAGGTACATGTAGAAAGATCTTGGAAGATTCAACTCAAGGTTCCAAACAAATCCAAAGGACATCTAAAATATTGCCGTATGTTTGAGTGCTTCTAAGCGAAGCGACGACAACAATCATGGACACAATGAAATACCAGTAGACATAACAGGATTTGGTGATATGGCAGTAAGCATAAAGACACATATATTTTGGCCAATGCAGTTGGTCTGCCTGGACCTTCGTGGATGTCGAGTCATACTTGTCGTGCTCTTCCCCAAGCTTTTTCGCCTAGGCCTTCCTGGTTTAGTGCTCACGTTTGTCCTCCTTTTCCTCAACCTTATTGTCAAGCATCACAAACACAAACTTTACACCATCAGTTTTTGTTGGCATCTCCAAGAAGTGGTTCCTGGATGGGCTTTGGGTGCTTGATTCTGTGGACATGTAGGTAAGGGTGCTGCATCTTGCAAAGCTGAACCGTGAATTTTACTTGAGATGGTTGAGTGATTGATTTGTAAAACAATTCGACCCTTTAATGTTTGAGGCCTTGATTTAGTGTTGTGATGTCAGAATCAGGCCCAGGAGATAGCCGTATTTCCATCAGGCTGAATATACACATCGATGCCGGGCTCTTCTTGGATTGTTGCCCGAAGCGACCTTCGAACATCGCGGTTAGGTTCAAAAATCTTTTTGTGGATATTTTGACCTTTACCACTGGCAGAGCAGCAAAATCTCTCCCATGTTGGCCACCGCTTGGGCCGTGGAACTCGGCGGAACTCGCCAACGGGCCAGGTGAAACTCGAGTGGCCGCCCAAGGACACCGGAAGAAAGACCGACTTTGGATGACCGACCGAAAGGCCGACGTTAAGGACGACGGACATTCTCGAACCTCATTTCGGTGTTTCGTGACATGTGTTTCGTTGGGGTGTCCTGAAAACGGAATCCAAGTCCTCCGTGAAACCTTTGGTGCCAATGGGTGACAAAAGGCCGTGCCAGGTGTGCCGTTGAATCCCTCACAATCGAATCGCGCGAATCGCCAGGATCGCAGTCAGCTCTTTCTACTCCCCGACTCCAAGCGCTTGATGTGCGTCACCCACGGGTGGTCGGGGCACCCGGGCGGTCCCACGGTTGCTTTGACGGAAGTGACAGTGTTCTTCTTGTTGCCCAAAGTGTGACTGTGACTGGGTGGCTTGTTGTTACTAGTAGCGATGGCCTCCACCTATTATATAGTAGCTTCTTGTTACTAGTAGCGATGGCCTCCAGCGCATATGAAGAATTTTATGGGTGGATTCTACCTCCGATACCTGAATTCTGAGGCCGGGGTGGGTGAGACGCTCCTCTACCGAAAGACAGCGGTCAACCCCATGAGGAGTGGTCTTCTCCAAGAATCAATGAGGCGCTTGAATAAGGTTTTCATCGGAAGCAAACCACCCCGCACCATCCCGGAGCAAGATTTAGTGGTGGTCCGCAAACGGTGATTTTTCGCAAGGGCTCACCTTTGAAGAAGGCGAGGCATCTGGAGACACGACATTTTTCACTTTTCCCATCTCAACAGGGTCAATGCAGCTGGGCTCAAGACTAGGGACTGCCTGAAGCACCTGGGTACTAGAGAAAACCAACAAGAGCTCACTAGCTGGTTGGACACCCAAGTGTGCTATCGGTTTATGTTCACCTGGCCACCTGGCCTGACCGGAAGACTCTTCGACGGCCCATTTGCCTAGGTATTACCCCGACGGCCTGACGGGCAAAGCGAACAAGGAGTGAGCACATGAGCGTGTGTGTTTCTCCGGATCTCCCCTCGAAGTGGTATTCTCTGGCCTTCAAATGGGGCAGGGTGGCCATACAATGGAGACCATACTGTTCCATTCAAACCGAGACCGGCTTTGGCACGCTTTGTGCCACTCCGCTTTGCCCGACTCCAGAAGATGTCCGCCATTCTGTGCATTGCCTCCAAGCACATCCACAACATCAGGGACAGCTTGACTGCAGCAGAGGCGATTTGACAGCTTCTTGGGTCGGGGAAGGGATAAAGGAGTGCTGGATATATCCAGGTAACATCATTGGTATGGGTCATCTCCAGCTTTTTGCAAGTACCTCAGAAAGAGGACGAGAGTTGGGTGAAATGCACTGCCTCTTCTTCGCCATTTGGGACCACCTGGGTCCTTGGGCTCTGGAAGAACCCATCGATCCATGCACCATTCACCGGTCGATCACCTGGTCGGTCATTCGACGAAAGCGTCGTGAGATTGCTTCGATGGAAGCTTCGTTTCATGTCGAGCTGTGAAAAGGGCAGTTGTCCAGCACACTTTTGACTAGACTACCCTACACCACCCAATACCAGACTCGGCTTTCATTGAACACCCCTTGGATAGTCCAGGCAGGATGATTCAGAGGAGGGTCAAAACATGAGCTCTAAACCATTCAAAACCATTTCAGCTTTTCCCACCAAATGAGCATGATTATGAGCACGCTCACAATCCAACACAGAGTTTTTCCGCACATTTCGTGAGGAGATCAGGATGAACCGACACCTATGCCCAGAAGCCATTTTCCCTATGCCTATGTCCAATGACCGATTCGACACCGACAACCAATGACAACCCTCAGCTTTCCATTCATCGCTCCAAGTTCCACGTGACGCCATTTGGATCTTGCTACTAATAGCGATGCCCTTTGTTCCTAGTAGCTTCTTGTTACTAGTAGTAATGCCAGGAGCTACTAGTAGCGTCTTTGCTGTTAGCGATGTCCTTGGTTCC